CAGGATCAGCTGGGGCCGGTTACGCGCTCCAGGAGCCGGAAGCAGGCGTTGAACGACTGTATATAAACCTTCCCAGCATTTGCCTTTTTAACCCTGATGATGTCAAGTGCACTTGACGAAAGCTTGGTAGATTAAACTCTATATGTTTTATAGATTTCTCTTGGTGGTCGCTTTGTTTTATAATGAATATTCCCAAGAGATAAACTAACATCTAATGGCATCTCATCCAAGGCAATATAATGTCTCTTGGTCCACATGAAGCATTAATGGAACTCAGACAGAAGTTCTGGGATTTAGACTCACAAAACGATAGGGCCAAAACTGGTGCAATTGCAGCTTCTCCACGGACAGTTCCTAGCTACTTCTATTACATCCTGAATATCTCACCCAGGAGTCTTTTTAACCTGGCTCAAATGGCACACTGCCTTTTATAGCAATAGCACTTAGACTTATAAACTGCTTCTCAGAAGGATGGAAGGCTGATTCAACCTGGACCGAACTGCCGGCAGTCAGCAGAATTAGCCTGCAGTACTGCATTCTAACCACTGCGCCACCACGGCTCTTATGGAGACCATAGAGTTGGAATATTCTAGTCTCCTACACAGAAATCATCTGGGCTTCTGCTGAGGTAGAGCTAGAGTCAATAATCCATGCATTACTGCACTGCCCGTTGTGTCACCCATGAGGTCTAGCCCTCATAAACCCAATTTTCGGAAATAATAGTTTTGTTTCTGATCAAGAAATTTAAATCTTCCTTCTGCTGCAGCTAACACAGACAAACCATTACAGAGGTTGCCAAGTTTCTTGCAATAGCTGTGGTTTGCAGAAGTTAGATGACATCCTTTTCTTAATATTAATTGTTTCAGAGCACGTTGTTTTCTTTTTGTTCTATATTTTAAATTTAACAGTTGTATTTTATTGATGTTTCTGAATTTTGAATTCTGTATGTGTCTTCTATCGATGTCTTTGGGGGCATTTTTGTCTTTTCTGTGCCACTATAATTGCATGCGAGGTGAAGAAAAAAGAGACGGGCAGTACTGGAGATAATTTGTTGATGTATACAGGAGCCAACGGAGTAGATCGTACGCAGGGCCCTCCTCTCTAGCAGATGTAGTGTATGTTCCGTATTGTGTGTAGACCCTCAATTCTTAGATGATAAATGAAACATCCAGTGGTCCCCACTGAGAAACATGACCTAATCCACCAAAAGAGCTTATAGAAGTTTCCTACGATAACTGAATTAGCCAAATGACAGGCAAAAATCCAGCGATCATTCGCTTCTGAAGATCAACTTTGGTTAAATTCTTTAAAGTTCTGCGTATAAATTCAGTTTTCTTTTTTGGCTTTCTTGTTTGGATTTATAATCTATATGTGGGCCAGGCAAAGAAAACTGTCTTCTTAAAATTAAACAGGCTGAGCAGCTGAGAAGGACTGTTTTTGTAAGGAATCTAATTTACTTGGAGAATTACATATAATTTCACACTTCATTTTTTTCACTTCATCGTATAATTAGTCATTACAGAGAATCAAAACTATTGTTTTCTCCTTAAGAACAAAGGCCTTGGAAACTGCTAATTATACCACAGCTCAACATTTTCTCCTTTCTTTCCTCTTAATGGGCTTTTCTGAATGTGGAGCGTTGCGTTTGTCAATTTTTCAGGGAAAGAAGTTTCTTCTCCCCCCTTCTCATAAGAAGCCTAGAACAAAAGAAAAGATGCTTACCTTACTTTAAAATATGTATGCAATCTCCGTTCGCTATAAATTTAGCAAGGAGTTTTAACTAATTGTACATTAAGCGCACAACTACAACTGTTTGTTCCGAGCAAACAAATATGGTCTTGTTAATTCTATTTTTGGTGTTTCGCAATTTCTAATTCAGTAGGACTTTTCTCAAGAATAAATCTGAAAATAGCTCCTGTGTAGTGGAATATTTTGAGCCAGTGTTTGCCTCAAGAGTAAGGCCGTTTCTGAACAGAAACGGGGGAGACATTTTAACAGAAGATCCACTTGATCTGATCATAATACAGATAGGGATAGGATCAGGTCAGGATTGCAGCTTTTTTCTTTCCCTTTGGGCCTCTCATGATTTGCAATCTTTTCTTACATTTCCTATAGGACTCAGGCAGCCTCTAAGTGGCATTTTTATTTTACACCACTATTCCTTGTGTTATTTGAAGTGAAATTTTAAAGGTCTATTACACTTTAATTTCACATTTCCTGGAGATGGTCTTTGATTTTAGTCAGATGTTTCATATTGTTCTGGTTCGTGATAAATTCAAGCTATCTTCTTGTTAATATGCTTTTTTAGTTTGATATTTGAGTTTATTACTTCAACGCTTGTTTCTAGCACTGACACATTCAATCCTGAACACTCAAATGGACTGAAATAATACAAAACACATGAGCTAATAATTTTAAAATGAATTATCTGAATTATTTCGGTAGTAACCTGCAAGTTTTTGTTCCGCTTTCTGGCAGATGCTTTCCATAAAAGAGTTTTCCCTTATTAAAATGTTTTGGGAGATTACCATGCTGGTATATATGGATATCTCATCGTAGTTTTGAGAAGAGCACTTTATTTGCTTTTTCTTTAATCATTGCAACAGAAAAAAATGCTTTAGGGTACAAAAAGAGTTCAACAGTATACTGATGTTGGACAAGAAACTGCCGGAACACAACTTCTGTCTCATGGGCCATGGAAATTGGAGTTTAATAGGACATTTTGCCCACCCTGGCAAGGAGATTGAAAAAAAGGCATCTCCTGGTCAGTAGACCATACTCATCATCATCCATCATCATCACTACTGCAACAATAAACAATTACATCTTCCCTGCTTTTCCTTTTTTTTTTTTTAGTATGTCTTTCTCTCACTTAAACGGTTGTTGTAAACCGAGTTCTATTTCCGGCATCTGAGATCAGAGGCCTGGTTGATGTTGAGAAAGCTGACCAGCCAGCTCTTAAAAGCAACTTGTGGCTTCATCCTTCTTTGATCATGCTTAATCATGTTGAAGTATGGTTGGTGTTGCTTTAAAAAACGCCTTTGTTATTTTTAGCACACTTCACCACTGATTGAAACTGGGGAGGGGGAAAGATTTTGTCAACTCTGTAATTCTAACGTTGTTTCATTGTGGCGGTTCTTTTTCAATACATATAAGCCAATTGTTGGACTTTTCCACAGTCTAGTGTGGTCGATAAAGGCAGATGTATAATTGACCAGTCAAAGGGGACGTTTTACTCCTGCTGTAACCTACTTTTATAACTTGTTCTACAAATCACACACAAAGTGCTTAACAAGTGCAGGATTAAAAAGAGAGAGTGACATGGAAAGTTGCTGGAAACGGAGCAGAAGCAAGAAGAGTCCAATCCCCACAAATAATCTGATTAGCGATGGTGAAAAGAGAAGCCTGATGAAAGAGAAGCCTGGATAAAAGAAATTTTGTGGATTTTAGCCTTATTTCAGTTTTCTGTTTGACTTTTTAGTGACCAAAGTTTGATGTTATTTATCATGGATTTCGTTTTTTGTGGTTTTATTTGGCTGGCTATTGCTTTTGTGATCTTCGTGGAAGGAGTACGATAGAAACTGTGCAATAAACAACCAAACAAGTCTTTTTCCATGACATAGAATGTTCTTAAAAGTCTCTGAAATGCGCACAAAACAATCTTTTCCGTAAACCGCATCCAGAACTTTGAGGGAAAATTGCTTACAAGAGATCAAACAGAATAGAAGTACAGTAGATGCAAAAACAGGGCCACGATGCTTGCTGGCTGAATCTTTCACTATAGATTTGGAGCCAGTACGTTTCTATAAGTGAAAAGAAGAGCCAGATTGGAACTAAGGAGCACATCTGCTTAATAATTCAAAAATATACAGAAATAAATGAATCTTCATTTTTTGCAACCCACATAAGTGATTAAACACAGCTACTGTAAGGATGGATTTGCAACCTACTTGGTGTCTCATTTATATTACTTTGTTGTGGGTAAGCAGTTTCCAAGTGTTATTTGTAATTCTCATTACAAAAATCCCGTATATAGGACTGAAGATGTTTATCTAGTTGGGTAACACAAACTCTGCAAGGAAACAACCAAGATCAAAGAGCACCAAGGACTCCATAACTTGTACATGCTTTCATATGTCTTACACTTTTTGAAAGAATCCATATAAAGCCATGAAAATCATATTATTTATATTTGTACTATGAGAATTCAATCCAATTTTAATAGAATTTTTTTAAAAAAAATCTTGTGTACACAGAAGATTCTTTCCCCCCCCCTCAATTCCTTACTGCTTAAATCATAGTTAGATTCTTCTCAGATTTAAAATTGAGTTAATGAGAACTGAATTCTTCTAAAAGAATGTTTATTTTCCCACACGCTTTAAATTATCTTACAGTATTTGCGGTCTCTTAGGCCAGGAAAATGCAAGATCAATGTTTAGAACTGAATATGAAGCACCGCATAGTCCTGAGTGCTCGATTTTTTTTGAGGTCATTTATATCAATCATGGTTGAAATAACTTTCAAGGATATGGTGATAATTAAATCTGCAGGGCAGTAAGCAAACTCCAGGAAGTTGGGCAGTGTTGGACTTTGGAGTTTAGCGACCAAGTTCTAGATTACAAATTTCAGATATTTTATCAGCTATATCCTCAGAGGCAAAGTGATTTACAGAAACTTGTTCTCTAGACCAGGGTCCCTAAATTCTGAAGGTCAGCACTGCCCAGCAAATACCGGTCACAAAAGCCTACAGCAGAAAATTCCAGAACACTCTAGAATTGTGGAGAGAATTGTGAACTTCATCACCAGAAGTTGGGAAAAAAACCTAAGGTTCTGTGTAAAAACACCTGATATTACATACTTTGCCTTTCCATTACAGATCCCAGGTTTATTACTGCTCATTTGATCCCTGAAAGTGACAATCCAGAAGATGACAAGATATATTTTTTCTTCCGAGAAAATGCAATTGATGGGGAGCATTCTGGAAAAGCCACGCATGCCAGAATAGGACAGATCTGTAAGGTAAAATCATGTCGGGTGCAAAAAAAAATCAGGTCTGAAATAAAGTACCCCTTTGAAATCTCATGGTCCTGATAAATATATTTACCTGTCTAATATTCATTTGTTCATTCATTTATTCAGTTTTTGTATTAATGCTACTCATCTTGGCTTGATAGTAGCAAAGCCATTGGAGAATTCCTGTTATGAAAAACCCCTCAGTAACTTCTGTTCTGATGTTCTGCTTACTCTACCTTCAGGGAAGAGACTGTCCCTTGTGGAAATTAGGCAAGGCAGAAATCAAATCTAAGAATTGCCATTTTAGATGTCACAATCAGGGCTGAGAGACAATCAGGAGGCTCTTACAATTCTGGTGTGAAATTTTTATTTGATAGAATGACTTTGGTGGACACAGAAGTCTTGTCAACAAGTGGACAACTTTTTTGAAAGCACGCTTAATGTGTTCTGTGCCGGGACCTAATGGCATCGACACCCATTTCGACGAACTCCGTAAGTGATAGAACTAGTTGTGAATACAAATTTATTCTCCAGTCAGCCGCTGTATATGTTTCATTATGAACTGACTAAGTTGCTTTTCCTTCTTCCTTTTGTTGACAGAGGATGTGTTTCTAATGAACTCAAAAGATCCTAAAAACCCAATAATCTATGCAGTATTTACCACTTCCAGGTATGGTGCATGCTGCTCTAGTTTTACAGGAACATACAGGGTTGGCTGTTTTGAAAAGCTTTCTTTGTTGGGGGGAGCTTGGAAAAAAAGGGAGGCATTTTTTTAACCTTTGAACTGGGAGAATCTAGTGCAGTGGTGGCGAACCTATGGCACGGGTGCCAGAGGCGGCACTCAGAGCCCTTTCTGTGGGCACGCGCGCCGTCGCCCCAGTCCTAGGCCTTCAGCTGGGTTTTATAAAACCTTTTCGCTTTAGGCCTCCGCCGCCGTGTGCAAAAAAAAAAAGAAGGTTCAATCAATCAGTCAATTTCAACTTCTCGCGGGAAAAAAAAGATCTTGCAAAGTTGGAATTGATTGATTAAACTTTTTAGTCCCACCCAGTCTGCTGTTACCACTGCAGCCACGCCCACCCAATGGGCCACACCCACCCGGCACCCGACGATGCATAAGTGGGTTTTGGGTTGCAGTTTGGGCACTCGGTCTCTAAAAGGTTCGCCATCACTGATCTAGTGAATGTTGAAAGGTTAATGAACTGTAGTTTTCTTATTAAAAAGTCATAAAAAGTTTATGAACAGACAGTACAAAAGAGGGCATAGATCATAGAAAGATATTGGATGATATAGCTTTCACCTTAACTTGTTTCGTTGCCAAGTTATGTCTCGCTTGGGATATTGGGAGAATATAGTAGACTAGAAGTAACTTCAAGGCTGTCCTTGAAGCTTTCTGAGATTGACTGGTTGTGTGGCTTCCCAATACTCAAGCAAACGGAACCACTTCAGCAGTCTTTCCATGTACCCAGAGAGATATGGGAACCAGACCAGTAAAGCTCAGCGGTCTAAGTGAAAAAAAAATCTGGGGGAGGTGGGAAACAGAGCAAAGGCATAGAAACAAGCAGGCACATAGAAAAAAGGATACTGTCCTGTCCATGTGGATTAAATGGATATTCCTAAAACCTTCTTAATTTAGGGGGAAAAAACCAATCTCAACTTTTTTCTTCTGCTTTTCCCCAATGCTAGCAATATCTTCAAGGGCTCAGCTATTTGTATGTACAGCATGGCTGATGTGAGGCGGGTGTTCCTGGGCCCCTATGCTCACAGAGATGGTCCCAACTACCAGTGGGTCCCCTACCAAGGAAGAGTGCCGTACCCTCGGCCAGGAACCGTAAGTGCGCCTCCTACTGGAGAATCGGGTGATGCCAAAATGGCTACTTGGTATTGAATTGGGACATCAGGAATAACGTTCAGTAAATGGAATGGGAGAATTTCTCCTCTATTTAAATTGTAGCCTTTAGGTTTTCTGCAAAGCTACCTACAGTGGCTTAAAGATATAGTGATATCCTTTTGAAGGTAATAATCTTATAAATTATATATTGGAGGCTCTTGCTGCTCTCCTATTTATCAGATTTATACCCCTTACTTTCAACAATCCTATAGGGCAGGGGTTCTCAACCTTGGCAACTTTAAGACTTGTGGGCTTCAACTCCCAGAATTCCTCAGCTGGCTGAGGAATTCTGGGAGTTGAAGTCCACAAGTCTTAAAGTTGCCAAGGTTGAGAACCCCTGCTATAGGGCCAACTATTCCAGGAAATACACAGAGTTTATTTTTTTCTTTTTCGTGGAATGGTTAAACTTCAATATCTGGCTGAGCTATGGAAAACTAGCCTGAAATGTAGATAAAATAACAATGTCCGTAGCGGGGCATAGACCAGGGCTTTCATGCTCACCCTCTTATGTATCAGAATGAGATGACAAGACGGCTGACATAAGATGGTCAGGTCTTATGTATAATTTTACTCTATGTAAAAGGTTAATAGCATACCATCTTTTGGAGCTGAGCGTGAGTCATAGGTACTGTATGGACTTAATCAAAAATTGTCCTGGCAACAATATGGAAGTGATTTGCTACTGTATTCTTCTGGGTTGTTGCTTTTGTTGTTTTTACTTGCCAGGCTACTTAGTTGTGGTCTCTCTATTAAGTCCAAAACAATGCTGCTTCACAGTGGGAGACGACCGAGTTCCACAGTATTGTTTGCTTACTATTAGCCATTGAATAATGGGAACCACTTCTACAGAACATCTAGTCGCAAAGAGTTACGTTCTGCTGAAGAACTTGCCAGCAGAGTAGAAAGGTTGTATATCAATCACATCAGTCGGTCAATAGATTAATCCGGAACAATTGCACAATTTTGTGGTAAACACTAGAACCAAGGTAGGGTATCAGCCAAATGGTTTCCATTTTACACATTGGGCCTTTGAGGAGAAAATACCCACTTTGGAAAGTCCCACAGTGTTTTTATTATAAATTTAACACTTAATGAGCATCTGCTTGCTTGTAAATTATGAAGCCGGGTCATTTAAATGATAAAATCAGGTCATTGAACAAATGAAAAAAAAATATTGAAGATTATTCACACGTGCTCTTGAGTATGGCTCCCCAACTGCATGGTCCATACCTCGTACTCCTAAATTACTTTTCTTGTTCAATCCATTCCACGTCCATTCTCCGATTAATCATTATCTAATTAATGCAAGCAATCAGTATTGCACTCCATCTGGAAAATTAGGTCTGACTGAGAGACGGGCAGGCTGGAAGTCTTTTAAGCAGAAGATTGCTGCAGGGCTCTAGAAAAGGGTTGCCGATTTTTCCCATTGCCCAACCGCCGACATGCAGCCCCCAAGCTCTTCAACGAAGGGAGACCTTCTGCGTTTGTAACATACATTTGATCTGCAGCTCAGATGTTCCCCCATTGAAGAGTAACATTGTGATGTTGCTGAAGTAAATATTGGCTGTCCGAGTATAAAGTGATACCCAACATTTAATAAAACATGGCGAACTGACTTTCTAGAATCTTCTATCTCTTCAGTTTTTTTTCTTCAGGAAGGCAGATACGTGAGTGTATTATAGGTCGATACGTGTACCTTTAATTTTCTCTCTGATGAATTATTAGTAAATCAATGTCTATCGTAATATTTTTTTTCTGAATTGACCAAGATTATTATTTAATTATGAGAGTCAATTTGGTGTAATGGTTGAGGCATTGATCTAGAAACCAGGAGGCTGGGAGTTCTAACTCCTTAGCCACAAAGCCAGCTGGGTGACATTGGGCCAGTCACTCTCTCTCAGCCCTAGGAAGGAGGCAAGGGCAAAAGTTTCTTTTGTCAAGAAAACTGCAAGCTTGTGTCCAAGCAGTCTACAAGAATTGGACATAATTGAACAGAAGGGGGAAATATTTAATTATATTTTGCCTTTCAGGTGATATACATACATACATACATACATACATACATACACACACTTTAGGACATGGGTGTCAAACTCTGGCCCACGGGCTGGATGTGTGACGTGGAAGCCGTGCCCCTCCCAGCTCCGGCAAGGGGAAAAAAGTCACGATACGTCACGACACGTCACGTGACGCGGAAAGTTTGACACCCCTGTTTTAGGACTTCAGAAATTATCCAGCTCATTGCAAGAGTTGCATGTTTGAATTCATAGTGTAGTACATTAGTAGGAAACTGATTCAATCAAAACTCCAAATTGGATTAACTTCCCTAACATAAGTCGTATCACTAAATCAAATTGGTTTGCCTTTGTAGTGATTCAGCAGCTTAGAAAGGCCTCGGTTTGCATTTGCAACAGTTAAAGTGTTTCCTGAATATTTTGAGGTGTTTCTGGATACAAATCTGGAGTGCTGAACCAGTCAGGGCCTTCCCAGAAGGGCCTGACTAAGAGTAGCAGAGTAAAATTGTTGAGACTCTAGAAAGAGTACAGAGAAGAGCAACAAAGATCATTAGGGGACTGGAGGCTAAAACATATAAGGAACAGTTGCTGGAATTGGATATGTCTAGTCTAACGAAGAGAAGGACGAGGGGGGACATGATAGCAGTATTCCAATATCTCAGGGGTTGCCACAAAGAGGAGGGAAGTCAAACTATTCTCCAAAGCGCCTGAAGGCAGGACAAGAAGCAACGGATGGAAACTAGTCAAGGAGAGAAGCAACCTAGAACTAAGGAGAAACTTCCTGATAGTTAGAACAATTAACCAGTGGAACAGCCTGCCTCCAGAAGTGGTGAATACTCCAATACTGGAGGTTTTTAAGAAGAGACTGGACAGCCATTTGTCCGAAATGGTATAGGGTTTCCTGCCTGAGCAGGGGGTTGCACTCGATGACCTCCAAGGTCCCTTCCAACTTTATTATTATTATATTATTATTAAAATGGAACACACACACACATGTGGTCTGGGTGCTGCATTCCTGATAATGCTCTCGTGTTCTCTCCGCTAGTGTCCAAGTAAAACCTTTGGAGGCTTTGACTCAACCAAGGATCTACCTGATGAAGTCATCACGTTTGCAAGAAGCCACCCAGCCATGTACAATCCTGTGTTTCCTATTAATAATCGGCCCATTATGATCAAGACGGATTTAGACTCTCAGTTCACACAAATTGTGGTGGATCGGGTAGATGCGGAAGATGGGCAGTATGATGTCATGTTCATTGGCACAGGTAAGGCTTGTTTGTTCACCTGTTTTGTTTGACAAACCTGCTATGAAATGAAATGCAAAAATACCAAATTTCACACACCGTGAGAACTATGATTGACAGAGGAGCAGAAAGTGACACAAATCCCATTTGTTTTCTTCTGGCTTGTATGTGTCTACATCGAAACATAAATCCAAGAAATAAATAAGTAAAGAAAAGGCCTAATTTACATTTGGCAGCCACATCAGATAAATTGTTAAGATAAATTTTTTTAGGACTTTTCTTCAATTGGAAAACAAACAGCATATTGCTCATTTAATCTTCTCCTACCAATGAGAGCAGCAATACAAATGTGGACAGTTTTATCACTTTTAATAAACACCATCCTTTCTTACTTCTTTCTCTTCCAATAATATATTGGAAACATTACGCAGTGTTATAGATTTGTAAGTTATAAATTATAAGCTATGTTCTAAAACTTTGCTTGGCAGGAGGAAAACTAGTAAATGCCCCCAAAACATGAGTGTGGGTGTTTTTTTTAAAGAATATAATCAAACATGGAAGAATTTTTTTCCATAACAGAATAAATAAATAACATTGAAAGAGTCTGAGATGCACTGATCACTTGTGGGAGGGGGAAGTGTTTCTTTGAGTCATGCATCAATTAAAATGGGAGGATGCTAAAGTATGAGAACTTTGTTGTTAGTTGCGAAGTCATGTTCGATCGACCCATCCCGACCCCACGGACAATGTTCCTCCAGGCCATCCTGTCCTCTACCATCTTCTGGAGTCCATTTAAGCTCACGCCTACTGCTTCGGTGACTCCATCCAGCCACCTCATTCTCTGTCATCCCCTTCTTCTATTGCCCTCAATCTTTCCCAGCATTAGGCCCTTCTCCAGTGAGTCCTTCCTTCTCATTAGGTGGCCAAAGTACTTGAGTTTCAACTTCAGGATCTGGCCTTCTAAAGAGCAGTCAGGGTTGATCTCCTCTAGGACTGACCAGTTTGATCGCCTTGCAGTCTAGGGGACTCGCAAGAGTCTTCTCCAGCACCATAGTTCAAAGGCCTCCATTCTTTGGCGCTCAGCCTTTCTTATGGTCCAACTTTCACAGCCATACATTGCAACTGGGAAAACCATGGCCTTGACTATACGCACTTTTGTTGGCAGGGTGATGTCTCTGCTTTTTAGTATACTGTCTAGATTTGCCATGAGAACTAAGAAAACATTTCAAGCAACAAAGCGGGTTTTTTCCCTGAGAAAACACTGCTCTAAAACATCTTACATAATAGATTTATGAATATCAAACATCTAATAGGGTAATGTTATTTATAGGGTTATGTGGCTCAGAAAACGGGTACAATTCATTTGGATTGTTTTAACTGATTTCATTTAATGCTCCAGTTCCGTTCAAAAAATTGAATAGAATCAGGTCAATTGGATTTTGCTGTCCAGATCAATTGGGTGTTGCTTCCATGCTTTTAAACAGAGGAAATGTGCTTTCCAGAACTGTTTTGGAGGAAATTGATTCCCAGTGGTCAACTACATAACAAAATCAGACATTTATTATAAATGTTGACCACATAAACCTACTATTTTAACTATGGATTTAAGATCTATGACCTATCACTTTGCTTTTGTATGTGTGTACGTTGTGAGCTTCTGCACCAGAGATAAATTCCTTGTGTGTCCAATCACACTTGGCCAATAAAGAATATTCTATTCTATTCTATTCTATTCTATTCTATTCTATTCTATTCTATTCTATTCTATATTCCAATATCTATTCTATTCTATATTCCAATATCTATTCTATTCTATTCTATTCTATTCTATTCTATTCTATTCTATTCTATTCTATTCCTTATTCTGTTCTATTCTATTCTATTCTATTCTATTCTATTCTATTCTATATTCCAATATCTATTCTATTCTATTCTATTCTATTCTATTCTATTCTATTCTATTCTATTCTATGCTGTTCTGTTCTGTTCTGTTCTGTTCTGTTCTGTTCCATTCCTTATTCTGTTCTATTCTATTCTATATTTGCTTATATTGAAGTAGGTGCTCTTGTGCTCTTAGATATCTGGATTTAGAATTGCAGGCTAAATTAATAGGCTAAAATGAACTCTTACATGAACAAAAGTTCATTTCATATTCTCCAGCAAATTCAAATTTTAGTACATCCATCTGCATTTGTAACTTAATGGGAAATTAAAGAAAGATCATTTAGCACAGTCTGAGTCTGTCTGTCAGTACATGTACATTCATAACACCACATCCATCTTGTAAATTAAGTTATTCACCAAAAGCTTTCTGATCTGAAAAGAAAGGACTGATTCAGTTGTGTGAAACTGCTTGAAAAATTTACTCAGCTGAAGAAGCTGATCCTGAAGGCAGATAAAGTTTCGTTTCAGATGCTTGAGGCTCTAATATGTAACATGTTGTAATTTGGACCTCACAGACGTTATAAAATAATCATCACGGAATTTCTTTGGAATATGCATAACACATTCCAACTTTATCCCCTTCTGCTATCATAAAATCTTTTAAAAGTATAAGAAAAGCATTCTCACCCTATGCTATGTTGTTTTTTAAATCCTAATTTATTAAATAAAAAACCTTTTACCTAAGTATTGTTCACATTTTGTGCTGTCACACAATCCAGAGATAGCATTCAGCAAATGTTATACACTATATGCATTATATTTGTTGTATTTTAATGGGAGTTACAGTTAATTAGATGTCAGTTACTGTTTTGGTCTGTAGAGAATTCTCACTATCCTCTTTAGCTGGTAGATCCTGAGATACTTTGGAAGGTGCCATTAAATGTTCTTATTTCTTATATACCTTATACCACTTGCTAATTGCAATCTAGTCCATATTATGTGGAGATTTGATTCATCTGAGACTTCTGTTAGAGAATTATCCAACAAACCCTGTTAAAGGATTCTTTGGCCTGTGGATTCGGTTCTTCCAACAAGCTTTTTATGTCTCCGACAAAATTGCAGCATTCACTCATATCTCTTCTAAAGGGACACAATCCCTTCAAAGAACTTTTATAACCACTACAACATGGTGGAAAGCGTGTCAGTGTAAAATTAATACCCCCAGCTTAGACCAATTTCACTTTTTTTTAAAAAAAATCTCACAATTCAGACGATTATGATATGCTGTTAGCTCCCTTCCTACGGTCCATACCAATGTTCATGTTAGTATCTGCCCTTGAATTTTAACGCAGCAATTAAAATGTCAGAGTTGATAATGAATAATAAAACATAACCCTAGTTCAGGCAACACGTTCCTAATTTTAAATTCACATTTGTGGCAGCTGGTATTTCATTGAAAAGGGGTTCTTGTCCTGCTCTCTTGCTGGTAGCTATAATGCAGGGGTGTCAAACTCAATTTCATTGAGGGCCGCATCAGCATTGCGGTTGCCCTCAGGGGGCCATGTGGGTGTGGCCAGGGTGGGTGCGGCCTACTGGGCGGGTTTGGATTGAGTGGGTGTGGCCTATTGGGTGGGTGTGGCCAGCTCTATATCGTTCGCGTCAAGGGTGCCTGTGGGGGCCTGGGCAGGAGTGGGACAGATCTGAGGGTCTCTGGCAGAAGGGGGTGGGACCGGGGCAAGTGCCAAGGCATGGTCCACTGGAGGAGCCTCACTGTTCCTCTCAGGCCATGTGGGGGGGGGCTTATGTAGCTAAGACTGAATGCGTTTCAGCATAGATGGCCACCACAAAATTGTACATTGGTAAGGTGACCAACCGTCCTCCTTTAGGGAGGACAGTCCTCCTTTTGTAAGTTCTGTCCTCCCTCGAAAAGTGTCCTCCTACATGTCCTCCTTTTCGATATTTGAAGACTAATCTGCAGGGCCTTTTTTTTTTCTCATAGAACGCTCAGAACGGCATTCCGGCACCTTTTTTTGTTGGTTTTTTTTAAACTTTTGCATGAGCTGTGCTAGTCCCGCTATTGGCTTTCGAAAGCCAATAGGAATTGCTGCTGAGCACACCAAAACACCCGGCTGGCAAACTGCACATGCAAGTTGTCTGTATTATTGTTGCAATGAATACAATGTTTCTTTTATTTATGATATTTTTTTCTTCAATTTATTTGTGTCCTCCTTTTCATTGTAAAAAAGTTGGTCACCTTAACATTGGCTCCTGGCCAGCCTGGGCCAGGGCCAAGGCAGAGGGGGCCGTTCCCTCACTGTTTCCAGGATGGCTTCATGGGCCACATGAAACCACTTCGCGGGCCGCATCCGGCCCCCGGGCCTTGTGTTTGACATGTCTGGCTTCAGACCTCTCAGATCCTGGGTGGGTTTTTTTTTTCATTCAAATATTTTATCCTAATTCCTCTTACAGTTGAGGACTTTGGGATTGTTTTGGAAGCAAACCTGCATTATGACTGCATTTTCTGAAAGATTGTATAACTGTAATGTGAAAACAAGACTTCTTTTGAATTAAAGTCATCCTATTAAAACACAAATGTTCATTTCTTTTTTTCAGATATTGGGACTGTTTTGAAAGTGGTTTCAATCCCAAAGGAAACCTGGCATGATCTGGAGGAAGTGTTATTGGAAGAGATCACGGTCTTTCAGGTGAGGGAAAATACAGGTATTATATAAATATATATGGGCCCTTCCTTTATAAACTCAACCTGCAGCTATCTGGGAAGGTGACAGTCCTGTGTGTGTGTGTGTGTGTCTGTGTGTGTGTGTGTCTGTGTCTGTGTGTATAATCTGTCATTCCCCCCCCCCATTTGCTGGAATGTAAAAGGCCAGCAGATACGACTGTTTGCAATTTGCAATTGAAATCATCTGTATGCTTGAAGGTCTCCTTGCCTATCTTTTCACTCCCAAAAATAATATACAAAATTTATTCTACATATGGGCAAACGATGTTAAGGCAAGGGTGTAGCGGAAGGGTCTATTTTTCAGATGCCAAAATGTTCCCATGACATAGCAATTAAGAGGCATTCTTCTGATGAAGTGCATAGCTTGAACACTGTCAGCCTCATTACAGGACTTGATTACTGAGACATTTACTTATTTATTTATATAAACTGGTCCAGGGTCCTTGGCAATTGGTGACCAAAAGAGAGGAGAATAAAATGTATCTATGCTGCAATTGTACTGTGGGTCTAGTTCCGGGCTAGGCAACCTTGGCTCTTTTATGACTCGTGGACTTCAACTCCCAGAATTCCTGAGCCAGCCATGGAATCCCAGGAAACTCTCCCTTTCCCCTCAGCATGGCTGGCTCAGGAATTCTGGGAGTTGAAGTCCACGAGTCATAAAAGAGCTAAGGTTGCCTACCCCTGGTCTAGTTGATTAAATTTAAAAAAAAAAAAAATTAAATCAAACGAGTTTAAATTTAATTTAATTGAAATTTAAAAATATTTTCCTCCTTAGTTACTTACTTCGGTTAGCATCTAGTCAAGGATTCATTTAAAATCAGAAGCCCCCTCCAGTCAGAGAGCCCTTCCTGAGGGGAGAATGCTTCCCCCAGCTATAGGTCGCTCCTACCCATTTCCCAGCCTCATCCTCAAAATATCAGGCTGCAAAAGAATCACATGTAAGCCCCAGAACTGCTGCTGCTCCTGCAAGTTTCTGTAAATAATACTCAGCTACCAGAATGAGCACGATGGAGGCAACATCAAATGCAGATCCCTGATTGGGGTGCAGTATGGCAGGTTGACTCACTGCTCACACTGCCGGCAGTTTGATCCTGACCCGCTGAAGATTGACTCAGCCTTCCATCCTTCCTGGGGTGGTAAAATGAGGACCCAGATTGTTGGGGGCCATATGCTGACTCTGTAAACCGCTTAGGGAGGGCTATGAAGCACTGTGAAGTGGTATATAAGTGTTAAGGTAATGATTTAGAAGCTAACCAGCTTGTATGAATGGTGCAATGTTAGGAATGACTTAGCAGGAGTCTGTATCCCTTTAAGAGCTTGAGTATAAAAGGGAAGGCCTTGCTGGAGTCTTTCTCTCTTATCCGTTTCCTGCTGTGATTGCTGTGTATTGGAGTTTGCTGAATCACCACGTGTATGTATTTTGTTCCTAGTGTATATTTGTAGATATTGTAATATAAACCACCGTTTAATACAAACCACTGTTTACTATATTTACTCCTGGGTTACCTCAGCACAATAGGACTGTGCATGCCCTGACAATAAGTCTGAGTGCTCATGCTATTAGGGAATTAAAGAACATACGTAGTTTCAATACTTAGACTTGCCCTGAAATTTCAACACTGCATTTCTACCAGCAAGGAGTGACCCTGAGCCTTCCTCCTCCTCCTCCTCCTCCTCCTCCTCCTCCTCCTCCTCATTTTTCTCTTACCAGTTTCAGTAGCATTCAAGGAAACAACCATTGAAAGTGGCTTTTAAATCCTAATAAGATGGAACTTATTTTTGCTAAGTCATAGTTAACAAAGAAGGAAAGAGGGAATTTTTACACTGGAGATGGTATTGATTTGTTGGTTTATTGATTGGTTGATTTTATTTCCCATCATGATTCTGAGGCTCTCAGCCACAGTATGCATCTCCATAATATCCTCTGTTTTCCATATTTCTGGAAGGCTAGAAGGATAAAAGCCAATTCAGTTCAAGCAGGAAGCTCCTCCAAAGAGTGGGCACTGTGGAAATAGAGAAAGTGGACCAAGAAGTTAGGCAGATAAATTCCCACATCAGAAGACATTCCTGAAAATATTACAATGTCATATTGCCGAAACTCAAGTTTGTAAACGGTAGAGATACATCTGCATTGTAAAGACACATTCTAACTTAAGAAGGTACACTGAATTTGGGAACCTTTGAAATGCATCCATAGCAACCACGTCCGCACAAATGTTTTAAGGCATCCAGATATCACCCTATTAAGTAAAGCAGCTCCTTAAATCATCTTTGGTTTTAACTCTTTTTTTTGTTTTTTGTTTCAGGAACCCACACCTATTTCAGCCATGAAGATTTCCACGAAGCAGGTAGGTACAAACAGAAGCTCAAAATTCTTAAATATTTATTGAATTTTCAAAATGCTTCTCCACCCCATTCTCTCTTCATAAATATTTATGGTTTCTCACATGAAATCCTAAAAGCAAGAAAATGCAAAGTTCTTTTTGATGCTTTCCTGAAAGTGAAGTGAAACTACAAGCGTATGCATTCTCACTGTTTTAAGAATTGCGTTAATTTTAATGAGTCCTTAAAAGATGTAAAAAAGATGCTAAGACTCTAGAAAGAGTACAGAGAAGAGCAACAAAGATGATTAGGGGACTGGAGGCTAAAACATATAAGGAACGGTTGCTGGAATTGGGTATGTCTACTTTAATGAAGAGAAGGACGAGGGGGGACATGATAGCAGCCTTCCAATCTCTCAGGGGCTGCCCCAAAGAAGAGGGAGTCAAGCTATTCTCCAAAGCGCCTGAAGGCAGGACAAGAAGCAACGGATGGAAACTGATCAAGGAGAGAAGCAACCTAGAACTAAGGAGAAATTTCCTGACAGTTAGAACAATTAACCAGGGGAACAACCTGCCTCCAGAAGCGGTGAATGCTCCAACACTGGAGGTTTTTAAGAAGAGACTGGACAGCCAATTGTCTGAAATGGTATAGGGTTTCCTGCCTGAGCAGGGGGTTGGACTAGATGACCTTCAAGGTCCCTTCCAACTTTATTATTATTATTATTAAAGCAGCAGCATCTTTTTTTTTTCAGGCTGTTTTATGATGGTGGGCTTGCATTAGGGTTTCCCAGTCCTAGTTGAATTTTACAGCGATTCAAGCTAAAATTGGGCTCTTTTTTTCCCAGGTCCCACTGATTGACTAGTTTTCAATAAATAATAATAATAATAATAATAATAATAATAATAATAATAATAATGATGATGATGATGATGATGATGATGATGATGATGATGATAATAATAATAATAATAATAATAATAATAATAATAATAATAATAATAATAATAATAATAAATAATAATAATAAAGTTGGAAGGGACCTTGAAGGTCATCTAGTCCAACCCCCTGCTCAGAAGCTTTGGCTGGGGGAGTTCTGGCGAAGAGCCTTTTCTGCCATGGTTCCCACCCTATCGTATCCTTCGAGATGAGATCAGCCCTCACCCTCTTGGTAATAATAATAATAATAATGATAAAGTTGGAAGGGACCTTGGAGGTCATCTAGTCCAACCCCCTGCTCAGGCAGGAAACCCTACACCATTTCGGACAAATGGCTGTCCAGTCTCTTCTTAAAAACTTCCAGTGTTGGAGCATTCACCGCTTCTGGAGGCAGGTTGTTCCACTGGTTAATTGTTCTAACTGTCAGGAAGTTTCTCCTTAGTTCTAGG